TTTTATGCTGCTGAGCTATCTCCCTGGCCCCTTGTTTTTCTTTTTCTTTCGTTCTCTTTCTTTCTTTCTTTCTTTCTTTCTTTCTTTCTTTCTTTCTTTCTTTCTTAATGTATTTGCTACAGGGTGTCACTACACAGCTCGGAGTTCTAGTGATCATCCTGTTTTCAGCCTCCCTGGCACTGGGATAATAGGTGTGTGCCACCATACCCAGTCTACCAGCCTATTTCTTATTTTGAGACAGGGTCTTGCTATGTCATTCAGTTGCCCAGAGTGGACTCAAACTTATGCTGTTCAAGAGTAATTCAAGTGCTTGAACTGAAATTATTTCCTAAATAACCGAAATTATTTCCTAAATAAATGTTAAGACCTCGTGTTTAAAATTGGCCCTGCCCTTGAACTGGTAGTGATCCTCCTGCTTCAGCCTTTTGAATGGTGGGATGATAGGCAGGTGCCACCAGGCCCTGCTCAAAAGTGGTTAAAAGTCCTGGCGAAACGGAGAGCATTCTGGGTACAAGAAGTAAACTAGTGATAGAGCTGGGCCTAGAGGTGCATGGATGTAATTTCAGCACTTGGAGACTGAGGCAGAAGGTTCACCCTGAGTTTGAGGCCAACGTGGCCTGCAGAATAAGTTTAAGGCCAGTCTGGAATACATAGTAAGACCCTGTCTCACAAAAAAGAAGAGAAGAGAAATTATAGCTAGTAAATGAACTATGCTAGCTGGGGGTGGTGGCACACACCTGTAAATTTGGTGCTCTGGGAAGTTGAGGCAGAAGGACCATATATTCCAGCCCAACCTGGGGAATTTAGCAAAACTGTGTGTCAGAATAAAAAAACAAAAAGGACTGAGGATGGGGCCAGGGAGATAGCTCAGTAGAATAAGCACTTGCCTGGCAAGCGCAAAGCCCTGAGTTCAATCCCTGGTTCCGCCAAAAAAAAAAGGACTGAGGATGTAGTTCAGTGTGAAAGCCTGGTTCAATTTCCAGTATTACCAATAAAGGGCTAGCCAAATAGCTCAGAGGATTAAAGCACCTGCAAGCAGGCTCAGGGGCCGGGAGTTTGATCCCTGGGCCTGCCTTGCCAACCTCGCCACTGGGGTGCCCTGAGAGGGCAATTGAGACTGGGCGTGGTGGTGCATACCTGTAATCCCAGCTTTGGGGAGGCTGTAAACAGGCGGATCACTGAGTCTGATCTAGTAGTGAAACCCTGAACACCCTATAGACCCTTCCCCAAAATACAAAAAAAAAGAGAAAGAAGGAGAACAGTATTACCAATAAATACACATTTAAAACATTTTAAATGAGCTATACAGAGC